TTTTTTCCAAGACAGATTTTACATTCTTTTGCTAGAAGATAAGGTATAGTGTAGGTAACACAACTAGTTCCAGGATTGCTGAGAATTAGATAGTACAAGGGAGGTTGTCACAATCATGGGTATATTTTACATAAATTCCCTGGTTTCTGATCCCTTCCTTACTTTGTTATAACCTACACTTTGCCTAACACCCACTCATTTTGCATATGGCTTACATATTGTTTTCCCTTTGTACTAAAATGAAACACTAATCATTGCCTTTGAAGTCTAGTCACCTGTTGTAGTAGGATGTAGGGTCTGAACTTTATTCACATGCTATCTCTTTTTTTTTTTTTAGATTATAGTTTTCTTTTTTCTATTTTTTATTGATTATTTTATTTATTTAGATTTCAAATGCTATCCCCCTTTCCTGATTCCCCTCCACAAAACTCCTATCCCAACCCTATCTTTTCCTGCCTGTATGAGGGAGCTTCCTCACCTACTCACCCACTCTCACATAATGTCCCTAGCATTCCCCTATGCTGAGGCATCGAGCCTCCATAGGACTAAGCGCCTCTTCTCCCATTGATGCCAGATAGGGCAATCTTCTGCTACATATGCAGCTGGAGTGAGTCCGTCCATGTGTACTCTTTACACCACCAATGGTTTAGTCCCTGGCAGCTCTAGGGGTTCTGGTTGGTTGACATTATTGTTCTTCCTATGGGATGCAGATCCCTTCAGCTCTTTCAGTCCTAATCCCCTAACTCCTCAATTGGGGTCTCCATGCTCAGTCCTTAGCTACAAGCATTTGTATCTGTATTGGTGAGGCTCTGGCAGAGCCTCTCAGGGGACAACCATACAAGGCTGTCAGCAAGCACTTCTTGGCACCAGCAATAGTGTCTGGGTTTGGTGTCTGCAGATGGGATGGATCCCTAGGTGGGGCAGTATCTGGATGGCCTTTCCTTCAGTCTCTGCTTCACTCTTTGTCCCTGCATTTCCTTTAGAATAGAACGATTCTGTGTTAATATTTTTGAGATGGGTGGGTGGCCCCATTCCTCAACAAGGGGCGGTGCATGCCTAACCTCTGGAAATGGTCTCTACAGGTTCTCTCTTCCCTTTCTTGGGTATTAAAGCTAATATCACCCCGTTGGGTCCTGGGAGCCTCTTGCTTTCCTGGCATTTGGGACTTTCTAGTGACTATACCCAGGTCCCCTTCCCCACTGTTATACACCTCTGTTCAATTTCCTGACCCTTTGTACATCTCCCTGTCTCATCCCACATCTGACCTTACCCTCCCCCCTTTTTCCTTCCTCCTCCTCCTCCTCCTCTCTCCCTCCCAGTGAAAGGCCCCCAGGGAGGGGAGACCCCAACTCAAGCCACGAGAACTCACGACCACTCAAAAGACTCAGAGACACCACCGATCTTGATGCAACAGCAAGAGGTATATTTCAATCAGTGCGCTGAGGCCGAGACCCCATAACCCACGCAGAGGCAGAGGAGCTCGACCCCCAGCTCGGGGAAAGTAGGGTATTTAAAGGAAAAAAACACAACCCAGGGGGAGTGGAGAGGAGTAACTGTGGAAAGTGTCAGGGTTCAGGGAACAGTCATGGGGAAAGTGCCAGCCCATTACTCAGCATATGACAGGGTTCGAGAAACAATCATGGGGAAGTATAGGTCTTTTTTTCTCAAGGCTCAATCTTATTCAACCATATCATTTACATCATCTACTTTGTGGTTAGCCAAGTTCTTGTTTTTGGAGCACAAAGCCCTAGAACTAGCAGAGCTGCTCTCCTGGCTCTTTTACTGTTAATCTGCTAGAAGTGACATTTCTATTAACCCTTCACCAGGTCCCTTCCTTCCTCTACCTCCTGTGATTATTTTTTCCCCTTCTAAGTAGAACTGAAATATCTACACTTTGGTCTTCCTTCGTTTTGAGCTTCATATTGTCTGTACATATCATGTGTATTCTAAGCTTTTTTTTTTCCTAATATCCACTTATCAGTGAATACATACCATGTGTGTTCTTTTGTGACTGTGTTACCTCACTCAGGATGATATTTTCTAGTTCCATCTATTTGCCTGTGAATTGCAGCTCTGTGTCTCCTGCCTTCTGTTGCACAGGAGGACTTTGGGGGGCATTTTGGTTATGGGGATTAAGTTGGCTTTTTTATTATTGGCACCCCTCTCTGTAAGCATTTGGTTTGGGTGTTCAGGGGGTCTTCCTTTTTCAGTTATTTTTTACTTAATTTCATCACTGTTGGCAAGATTTTAGGTATCTGCTAATTTCCTCAAAGATAAATTTATGTTAGTTACTGTTCTTTGTTTCTGACAAGAACTTTGTGAGTTTGTCTTGTTGGTTGTTTTTGAGACAGGGTCACTATGTGACCCTGGCTGCCCTGAGATCCAACTGCCTCTGCCTCTCAAACACCATGATAAAAGTTATGTGTCACAATATCTGACCCTAGTATTTTCATTTTTAATTACACATATATCAACTATCCCGAGTTTATTAAACTTAGACATTTTTTAAAGATTTATTTATTTATTTAATGTTATATTATTGTCTCTGTATTTTATGTTATTATTTATTTATTTCATGTGTACAAGAACACTGTTGCTGTCTTCAGACACACCAGAAGAGAGCATTGGATCCTATTACACATGGTTGTGAGCCAGCATGTGGTTGCTGGGAATTGAACTTAGGACCTCTGGAAGAGCAGTCAGTGCTCTTAGCCATTGAGCCATCTCTCCAGCCCAAACTTAGACATTTATATAGTTTTTTTTTTTTTTAAGCTGTGTTATTGGGGGATTAAGGCTCAGGACAATTTGTAAATCCATTTCTAGGGGACCTGATGCCCTACCCTTTTCTGGCCTCAGGGCACCAGGCACGCAAGTGATACACACAGAGAAACATGCAGGCAAACATGCATACACATAGAACATAAACTACATATATTTAAAACAAGCTATTTGATGCATTGCCTTTTTTTAAAAAAGAGAGAGGGAGGGAGGGAGAAAGGGAGGGAGGGAGGGAGGGAAAAAGGAGGCTATTTGCAGTAATGGAGGCATGGTTATTGAGAAAGTAAAAAAAAAAAAAACCCTAATTTTGTTCAATAACTTATGGATGGATACGTGTATTCCATAAGACGATTTCTATATCTGAGCCCTACAGTTATCCTTAGAGAATGAATGTGGCAGAGATAACCAGTTTCAGAAGATACCATTTATGTACTAATTCAGTCATTAGAGGTAGAGGGAAACCTATATATACCTAGCATTTTACATTATCTTATCTATAGTTTTGATTTCTGAGTTTTCAATTATTCTTGGTCTAAAAATGTCAGATGGGAAATCTAGAATTAAGTAATTCATAAGCTTTAAATTGCGTTCCTTTCTACACACCATTATGAAACTTTCTGCTGTCCTAGCCCATTACCAATAATTTTTTACTCACGCTGTGAAGTGCTTCTCTTTTAAATGAAATGTGAAAGTTTTGGATTAATAAAAGAAAACAAGTATGTTGAGGTTATTGAAATATATGGTAAGGGGGAAATCATCTATCCATAAAATTATAAAGAACTAAAATGATTCTTTTGTTAAAACTTGAACTTCAGTGCCTGACAAGTACTTGGTTAAAGACATTATATTTGTGTCTGTGTGTATAGGAAAACAATATAGACCTATGCATGATTTTAGGCATCCACTGGTGGCTCAGAATGTATTGTCAGCAGAGAAAGAATGAGAATATAAGCCACTACTTTGTATCTGAGGGATGAGATTAAGGGATATGTGAGGCTGGCAGTACAAAAAATTCAAAATAAATTGGGAAAAGACTCAGTACTGATAGTGGGGAGAAATGAGCTGATAATCGAGTAATTCTCGTATGCTAGATATTTCTCTTAGCTACTATATACATTCTTACACATCCAACAGTTCTTTATTATGTGCATTTTACAAGAGAAGACATTTGGATATACAGATATTGGTTAATTTTTTTTATGCCACAGAAATTAGCAAATAGTATTTGAGCTAAGGCTGTCTTGCAGGAAGAGAGGGAAGATCACAGAATTGATGTGATTTAATCTTCTCTTCCCCAGGCTTAGAAACAGTCACTGAGAGCTGTAAAGTGCCTTGCTCATTGTTCACTTCCCTGTGCTCAGTTGTAGTAATAAGAGGGATTAAAACACTCATGGTGCTGGAGGAGATTAAGACATTTCTTCTGTCATGTTCTTAGTTGGTGTTCTCTTTGGTTTATGTTTGCTAGTTTCAGACAGTATTTCATTATGTAGCAAGGTCTGGCCTCAAAGTCTCCAATCTCCTGCCTTGGCCTTCTGAGAACTGGGATTACAGGTGTGCATCTGAACACACCTATTGATTTTTTTTTGAAGATATATGACATTATTCATTACAGTAAGAAGAACTAGAGTTAAGCCTGGTGGCACATACATGCCTGTAATCCTACATGAGGCAGGAGACTGAAGTTTGAGACCAGGAAAGATAATTTGTTTTAGAGCTCACTAGCATATGCAGGGCACTAACTTTGAGCCTCAGCATCTTAAAATAAAGCTAAGAAAAGAAAATAAACCTATACTATTAGTAATGACTTCTTTCTTAAAACCTTTCAGATCATTTGTTTTTACATTTCCTCTATCTTTGCTACTCAAGAGTATTCAGTTTAGTTGTGTACATGTAATAAATTTTAAAAATTAATTTAAAACAGTTTGTGAACATGAAGCATTTAGACTTTTTAGTCTTGATATATATATGACTTAAATATTAAATATATATTAAATAGATATCAAATACATATTTTATTGTTTTAAAATATTCAGTTTATAACCAATTAATAGCAACTATAGTCATTTTGATACTCATACCTCATATAATCTTAAAATAATGGAGAATTCTCTGGTACTATAATTGTATAGATTTTGGTTTTAATCTAAATTTCTACATTTTGCTAAGGAACCTTGATATTAAATAAGGAAAATAATTAAATATTAACTCATTTTTTCTTTCAGGTTTCACCTTGCTTAAATGTCTTGTCACGGTTGTTGTTTAGCAGTGATCCAGATGTGTTAGCAGATGTGTGCTGGGCCCTTTCTTACCTCTCTGATGGACCCAATGATAAAATTCAAGTAGTCATTGATTCTGGAGTCTGCCGAAGATTGGTGGAACTTCTGATGTAACTATAATTTTTGCTTAGTAGCTGCATGATTCTGTATTAAGTTTAACAGTTGAGATCATGGCCTTAAGCATTTCAAAGTCTCTATCTTTAGGAAGAATTAAAAATTTACCAACTCTACCCTTTCTAGAGTAGCTATAATCCTTTAATTTATATCCTGAAATGCAAGAAAATTATTTTATAAATTTATCTCTGTATGAATGAACCCTGTTCTTTTAAAAGAAGTTTAATTCAGTGAGTATTTAAAGAATGTCTTTTGGCACCAAAGGTGTTATTAGGGAGAGAACAAAATTCTTGCTCTCCCAGAACCAATAGTTTAGTTTATTATTCATTGCAATGATTAACTTATTTACAAAGCCAGAAAATTCATTTAGTGTCTCCATGATGTTTTTCTTACTGGCCAGTTATTATTACCTGTGTTTAAAACCATAACTCTTCCATGCAAAGAAATAAAAAGAAATTTTTGTTTAAAAAGATGTTACAGCTTCTTTATCCTCCAGCCTTCTTTTACAATTGTCTTTTTTTGTTTGTGAAAAAGCCATTAGTAGTAAGCCAGGCATGATAGCTCATACTTTTAGTCCCAGCACTCGAAGAAGCAGGCAGATCTCTGAGTTTTAAGCAAAGCAAGTTCCAAACCAGGTAGAGCTATATAGTGAGCCCCTGTCTCAAAGAACAACAGACCAAAATGAAAAAGTCATTAGTTATGCCTCAGTAAAGCAAGTGACACAAAGAACAGAGTTGTATTAAAGGATTGTCATTCCATTATGAGGACAGTATCAGAGAAAGATAGATAGGGACAGTGGAATGGCCAAGACCCTAGTTTGAGAGTGGTTTCTACCTTAGTGGGCAGACAAGCAGCCAGAACAAGGTTTGGAGCCAAAAAATTATGACCTGGTAGTCTGTCTGTCAGATTATCTGTATTTAAGAAAATGTGAACTAAAGCAGTTAACTTCTAGTCAGAAAATGTGAAGAGAGAAAGCCTTTAGATTAGAATAAGATCCCTCAGTGTAAACTCATGGCTGTCAAAATAAGGAGCAATTTAAGTATGTGTGTGCATATGTGTGTTACAGTTCTTGGAGTAAAGACCCCTCTAGAAATATGTTCAGCACACTGAGGGCACAGCTATTGGTTTCTAACTATCACTGTTTATTTAAGGAAAGTCAGTTTTTTAGAGAATGGTTAGATTCTGGAGGAGGAAAAATGAGGTGAACACAGAAAATAGTGATCTTGGCAATAATTTACAGTAATGTATTATAAATTAATAAATAGCAGAGGCAGAGACAGGCGGATTTCTAAATTTGAGGCCAGCCTGGTCTACAGAGTGAGTTCCAGGACAGCCAGAACTATACAGAGAAACCCTGTCTCGAAAAAAACAAAAAAAACAAAACAAAACAAAAAATTAATAAATAGCAGCAAGCCCAGAGTCCGCATTAAAATAGGTGGGTGGGTCAATAGGTAGATATGGCTGAGATGATAGGATTACAAAATAACTAGTAAAAAAAAATACAAATAATTACTAATTCAAATATATATAAATAAAATTTTCTAGTGGTTAAAGCGGGGGGTGGGGGGGAGGTGCCCTGAGAACATACATTATATGGGCTGAAAAAGTTATATTTAGGTTTATGTGTAGACATGTACATACATGCTTAGAATAACAATTTGTGAAAAAAAAAGCTATGAATTTGAAAGATAGAGGGGATGGTATATGAGAGGGTTTGGAGGGAAGTAAAGAAAGGGAGAAATGTAATTATAATATCTAAAATAAATAGGTTAAAGAATAGGGTTTTTACATGGTCTCAAGTATTTCTGCATCAAATACTGAATATAAAGGAGAAATTAGGACTAATGAAGAAGAATGACATGACCTTAATTAGTGACAAAGTACTACAACGAGACAAACCCATATGTCACACAATAAGATATGAGATTATATTAGCATGTATGATATAGGATTAGATTTTTGTTTTGTTTTTAAAATATTAACAGGATGTCAAGTGAAAATTGAGAAGGTTCTCTGAGTGAAGAATATGGAAGTTTTCAGTATTATTTTTGCAACTTTATATAAATTCTAACTTACCTCTTATTTTTATTTTTAGGCACAATGACTATAAAGTTGTATCACCTGCATTAAGAGCAGTTGGTAATATTGTAACTGGTGATGATATTCAAACACAGGTGAGTTCAAAATTTATGACACATTGTTTATATCTTTCATATCAGTTGATTATTACGATAATTATACAGGCATCTGTGGCAGTAAGTACAGTTTTCAACTTCAGTTACCTTATTGGGAATGTACTATCATAGAGCTCTGTCAGTGCAAAGTACACTAGGTGTTCTGCTTGCAGGATTCAGAATCTTAAGTAGGTAAAAGTCATATTGAAATAAAACAAGATGCCCAGTTAGGTCAGTCAGTAGAGCTTGAAACTCTTAAAGCAAACTAACAAGGAAATACATGTACTATGAGCTGATCAACCAGAAAATGCTATAAAGATTTTATAAAAATGAGTATGATGAGAAGCTGTAGTTTCTGTAAATGAGTGGAACTGAGCAAGTAGAATGATATGGTAGATGAGACGAGATTTACATGATCATAATGTGAGAGGCAGAGACTTTGAGGTGTGTTTAAGAACCATTAAACTCAACTAGAATAGAAACTGATTTATTATAAATAGGTTATAGGGCTTAAGATTCAGTTATGAGACCAAAGATTATTATAGCAAGGAAACTTGGTGGCCAACTAAGTGTAAGTATGCCTGTTTTGGAGAATAAGATGTTAGAATTGACTCCAGATTTAGGCTTGAATTCTATTTAAATACTCACCAAAGCTGTTAAGTAATCAGTAGCAGTTGATAATACCCATTTTTAAGTAGCACTCTGCATTGGTATACACTGCGCTCACCAGCTAAATTTTCAGTGTACCACTGCTCCAAACCTTCCACCTTCACTAAGTCAATATAAGTGAATATAAGGACAAAGCAGACACTGGTTGACTGCTGGTTGGTTTTTGTTTGACACAGAGTCTATTAGTAGCTCTGACTGACTTTGAACTCAGAGACCAGGATTAAAGGCATGTGCCACATACTTGAATAGATACTTCATTATAAAAGTTAAATTGTCAAACTAGAACAGAACAGATTTATTCTGTACTTGAAAGTTTTTCTAATGTTACAGAAATGTATGTTGAGAATGAATATTCAGTCAGTTTTGAAAATGAGGTTGAATCTTCTATCACTAAGTCATTCTTCAAATAGTTTTGTATGTCGAAGTTTGCATGTATTTCTATGGGTATGACTAGAATCATAACTGGTTCACAATCTTGAATTTCAATCTTTTCTACTTGGTAATATTCTTCAAAATACAATCTATGTTGATAATGCTATAGCTAAGTTACTTTAATTTGTGTATTTGAAGGGCATGTCTCTGGTTCACACTTTAGTGGAAAACAGAACCATTCACTATACTAGCTCTAAGTAAGTTTTGCTAACTGCAAAGGAGAGAAGTCCCTCTAAACAGTCCCTTAGCCCAGATTGCCTAGCAGAAGTCCCAAGAGGGCTCTGGCTTTTCCCAAAACAGGCCAGGTGTGTAAGATATCCCTCTAAGCCAGGTCCGGGTCCTGGTCCTGACCGCCAGCCACACCATTTCTCCCACAGTAGTGCAGGGATGCTTACTCACTGCTGTCTAGATATTACCACATGTACCACTGCTCAGAGTCCAGTTCCAACCTTGCCCAGGGGTTGCTTGGTCCAGCTTCTTAAGAGACTGCAGAGCAAAGTGTGTTTCTCTTGGTTTGGATTTTGTCTGATTCATGCCTACTTCAGGGAAAGAACTGGTTTTTTTTGCAGTTGTCAAATGGTAGACTAGAAGTCCAAATGCACTCACTCCGGACTTGGCTCACAGCTATTTGTTAGTGTGTAACTAACTGTCTTTGTAAGGGTGGTTCTGACAGCTGTTGGGATCTCCCCATTTCATGTCAGTACATACATGCCAGCTGTGAAGGCAACAGCAACAGGAGACATGCTCTTGACCGACGTATATGGCCACTTCCAACTAAAGCAAGCCTCTGCTTCCTGCTACCTGCATGTAGCCCACTGTGACACTCAGACCATCCTTGGTCACTTACTTGTGGTCTGAGAATCTCAGTGAGAGCTGCCTGCTGTCATGGATGGAAGCAAACAGAGCCACCTCTCAACCTAGCTCCTCACAGGCACCCCACCCCTCCCTGCATTCAGCTGTCCTTGCTAACCCTCAATGTTATTTTACACTGTGTAAATTCTCACGGCTCTGTCTTGTGTAGGTTGTGTATGTCATGTCCCTGGTTTTTTTATAACTATGGTGTGATCAGTAAGGATTCCGGTAATACTGCTTTAAAAATGCTTCTCAGAGGGCAGCCTCCATTATAGGACACCTGTACACTCTGATGCACTAAGTCAATAAAGGCACAACTGAACCTGAAAAAAAAAAAGTTGAGAGGAATTTATTTCTTGTTTTTCAGATTGATTTCTGTATTTCTAAGTAATTCAGAAGATTTTTGCATTTATATTAAAATACTTTTTGTTTTCTGTCTTGTCTATTTTAGGTCATTTTGAATTGTTCTGCATTGCCCTGCCTTTTACATTTGTTGGGTAGTTCAAAGGAGTCAATTAGAAAGGAAGCCTGCTGGACCATTTCTAACATCACTGCAGGAAACAGAGTGCAGATCCAGGTAAGCACCTTTCAGAGTTGAAATGACAAAAGGCAAGTCTAAAGTAATGCCATGTGTAATTAGTATTCTAGTGACGAATAGCAATATTTATAAAAATATCTGAAACATAAAGTTAGTCTTGAGAAATGGATGTTTCTGCTGCATATAATACACACATCTATAATCCAGTACTTGAGAAACTGAAGCAAGGTAGTATTATAATTTTGAGGGCAAAATGGGATATTTAGGGACACCTTATCTGGGAAGAAGAAAAAATATTAAAAAGGTGTTGCATCAGGTTTAAATTGAGAGACTAAGGCAGAATGATGATTTTTGAGGCCAGAATGAGCTACATGGAGAGACCCTGTCTGGGCAGGGTGATTTGCTCAGCATTAAATGTTAGGAATCATCTTCCTGTTGGCTTTAAATAATTATTAGGATCTGTCCAGTTTCTTAAGCCAGAGAATGCTTAGATATCTTGGTTAGTTGCATACTTACAGTTTATCACTCTAATATTTATATTTTGCTGATAAATTCTCCATTCTTCAGAAAGTTCTTTTTAAAAGCTCATGTGGTTTTTTTGTTTTTTGTTTTTTTAACAAAAGAAAACAGCTAAAGTGTGCTGACAGATTAAAAACCTCTCCCATTTTAAGATTTAAAACAAGTATGTGTATATGTGTGCCTGTGTGGGTTATGTAAAGCACATCATGAACAGGTACCTGTGGAGGCCAGGTTGCCAGATCCCTGGACCTGGAGGGGCAGGTGATTGAGCTACCTAATGTGGTTGCTGTGAGCCAAACCCAGATCCTCAGAAAAGAGCAACAAGTATTTGTAGCTACTGGGCCGTCCTTCAGCCTCTCACTTGTTAATGCTTCTGCGTTTCAGTGCTACATGGGGCAATAGTTATGAAACAGCATTTGCACTAATTTTGCTGGATCATTTTTCTTCTTAGGCTGTCATAGATGCAAGTATTTTCCCTGTTTTGATTGAGGTCCTCCAGAAAGCAGAGTTTCGTACCAGAAAAGAAGCAGCATGGGCTATAACTAATGCCACATCAGGAGGCACTCCAGAGCAAATAAGGTACATTCAGATTTCTAAATACTGTCTTTTAAATGTGAGTCAGACAATTTGAAATAAAACATACTTCTTAATTTATTGGTGAAACTAATATTTTTATGTTTGTTTGATATGTATTAATATGAAATGACAGCATTTAGTGTATCTTTCATTTGGTTTCTTTGATTATTTTTACTTAAATGATAACCCCATCCTCCCTGGCATAGATTAGAAATTCAAATGGGAACAATTTGTTGACTTTCAGAATATACTGTCATGAGCATTAGATTTGTTTTGAGCATTAAAATCACAACATTAACTTTATTATATAGAAGTAACAAATATGAATATCAATGTGCTTAAAGTAAAATTAAAATATGTACTTGTTTATTGGTGTCCTTTCCTTATTGACTGTTGTCTTGCCAGTAGAAAGTATAATACTTTTATACACTACTTTTCCTTTTCCTTTATGATCTGTGCCTTTATTATGTATATTACCGATTCATAGTTAGTACATAGCTTTAAGTAAGCCTGGCCAAGTTCTGATCTAGTTCTCATCCTTCAGTAAAAGTTGTGATAGGATCAGTCTTGACAGAATCACTTAACCTTTCTAGTCCAGTTTCTTTTTTCTTTTCTCTCTCTCCCTCTCCTCCACCCTCTTTGTCTGTCTCTCTCTCTCTCTCTCTCTCTCCCTCTCTCTCTCTCTCTTTTTTTTTCTCTCTCTCTCTCTGTCTCTCTGTTTTTGCTAATGAATTCAGTAACAGTATCTAATGTGCAATGAACACTTGATGTGTTCATTACAGTGCTTAATGAGCATTAGATTCTCAACCAGAATAAGGTCCCAGCACCATTTATAGTAGTAGTCCTTTTCAAGTATTGATTCCAGTCTCCTTATGTCATGTATCTTCGGACTTTTTGACTTCTATAGCAAAGATACACTTTGTATCTCAACTACACTTGACTTCTTACATAATCGTCTCATTCTTAAGAATCCTGCAACAAAAGTTGAATCCACTGTTTATGAAATATTTTCTAACGAGTATGTGACTGTTAAAAAGTTTATAGAATAGGCCAAATTATTATACTATTTTATAAACCAAAGGATTTAAATCCACCAAATATTAGATCATTGTTTGTTTCTGTTTTCTAGAGACAAGTTCTTACTGTTCTCTGCCTCTTTCAGTGCCATACATTTTTTATAAAAGTATATATATTTATATATGTACATATATCTTTCTGTATGTATACATGCATGTCTGTATGTCTGTGTGTGTGTGTGTATGTATGTATGTATGTATGTATGTATGTATGTATGCATGTATCCCTCCTGTTAAATGGGACTAAAAGTGTGTGCCACCATGTCTTTTTTAAAAAATATTTTAAAATAAATCATCTGAAATTCTATTATGCTCACAGGTATTTTTCTTAGTCACCTTTCTCTTTTGTAACTTATTTTGGATATTTCCTTGTCTAGCCTCCTAAATGCTGGGATTGCAAATATGCCACTGTGCCTTGTCTTTCATTACCTTCATGTTCACTGTCAATATCAGATCTGTATGTAGAGACATCACCTGTGTCTGCTTCTTTTCTGCTCCCGTGGTATTTTAATTAGTATTTCCATTATATTTGTGTCATAAATATAAGCAGTAATAAAACATTGTTGTTACTTTGTTCTGATTTATTTTTTAATTTCTACTTTTATTTTCATGTGTTTTAAGCTTAAAGAAATCACATATTACAGGAAGAAATTGTCTTCATTTCAGATTAGATTCAGGGTGCATATCATAGTAGTTATGTCCACTATTGCTAGTTATTGTTCTGGTAGCTAAATCATTTCAGTTACAGCAGATTTTTTTATATATTTTATTTTATTTAACCTCACACCTATGAGATAACTATTTATTAAAAATATTTTTGCTCATTATAATTTGGAAGGTGGTGTAAATGCATAGCTTCTTTCTCTTACTTTCTTATTCTGAGTTCCAAGAATGAACCCCTTATCATCCTTGCTCAGCAAATGCTGAGCCATCTGCACCATACTCCTTTTTTAGAGGAGCAGAAACTTCTGTTAAATACTTTGTATTGGAAACTGAGGTAGAAAACAGTTGCTCAAAGTTGCATAACTAATTAAAAATGGAATTAGGATTTGAAACCATGCAATTTGGCTTCATAGCCCTTTGTGATTCATATGAGCTCTTTGTCAAGTGAGAAAAAAATCAATTTATATAAGAGGAAATGGAAAAGTAGCTAATAATAATGCACTGGGAAATTAATGGTATATTTCTGTGAATAGTACTTCTTAGCGTTTATGTATTAGGGTAGCCTGTTTTCTTCTTTGTGATCTTTTGTAATTCTGAAAAATACTGTATGTTTCAGAGATTGTGATTGCTGTTGTAAGATTTAATTTGGGTATTCTCTTTCCTTCTCCGTTTGTACCTTTCCATCAAATAAACCAAGAGGGAGGGAGGAAGAAGACTGGGTGGGGAAGGAAGGGAGGGAGGGCACGCATTTAAAAAAAAAAAGAGTAGATAGAACCCACTATTCTTTTTTTTTTTTTAAAGATTTACTTATTCACTTATTCGTTTAATGCATATGAATAAACTGTTGCTGTCTTTTGACACACTAGAAGAGGGCATTGGATCCCATTATAGATGATTGTGAGCCAGCATGTGGTTGCTGGGAATTGAACTCAGGACCTCTGGAAGAGCAGTCAGTGGTTTTAACAGCTGAGCCATCTCTCCAGCCTGAACCCACTATTCTTAACCCTCCTTTGTAAAATCATCTAAGTACTTGTCTGCGTGTGTGTACATTTTGTAGTATTTGCAATTCCATTATTGCTAATGATGTGAAACCAGAGAAGCTTGACAGATTGTAGTAAAAATAAAAAACATCTGAGTTTAACCCAGGTATGGTGACTCTAAACCCCAACACTCAGGATGCAGAGGCAGTCAAATATGTGAGTTCAAGTCAGCCTGGTCTACGTAGTGAGTTCCAGGCCAGCAAGGGCTAATGGCGAGAGCCTAACTCAAAAAAGAACAACAAAAATATGTGTTGAAACACTTTCATGATTGGTAATATAACATTTTATTCTGGTTTTATTTTAATATACAACATATAATATAAAATATTAATATAGTATTAAATCTTCCCTCCTCTAATTCTCTGTTTTAAATTTCTGTAAAGGTATTTGGTAACCTTGGGCTGCATTAAACCACTTTGTGACCTTTTGACTGTCATGGACTCCAAAATAGTTCAAGTGGCTTTGAATGGACTTGAAAATATTTTGCGTCTTGGAGAACAAGAATCTAAGCAGAATGGAGTTAGCATCAATCCCTACTGTGCTCTCATTGAAGAAGCATATGGTAAGCAGGCACTTAGAAGTTTGTAATTATAGTTAATTCTTAATTATCTGCTCTAGGTGGCTTCTCCCCCAATTTGCACCTCCACCCTTCCACATTTTATTTTATCTTATTTTATTTTATTTTATTTTATTTTATTTTATTTTATTTTATTTGGATGGGTTTTTTGAGACAGGGTTTCTCTGTATAGCCCTGGCTGTCCTAGAACTCACTCTGTAGACCAGGCTGGCCTTGAACTCAGAAATCCACCTGCCTCTGCCTCCCAAGTGCTGGCATTAAAGGCATACGCCACCACTGCCCAGCCCTTCTCCATTTTATAAGCTATTTTAATTATAAAAGCTAGTCCCCTATATTCGTAATTCTTAATGAATAAGATGTGTGAAGTCATTGATTGTGCAAAAAATAAATTTAAAGAAATGTCCCAGTCTTTGTGGAGTGAGTGGATGCTATTGGTTTGGTGTTCTCATATAGTGTATACTGAAACCCTAATAATAATTTGCTTCTTGTATGTATTCTTTCTGTGATAGGCTTGGATAAAATAGAGTTTCTGCAAAGTCATGAAAACCAGGAAATTTACCAGAAGGCTTTTGAGCTAATTGAACATTATTTTGGTGTAGAAGATGATGATCCCAGTATTGTACCTCAGGTGGATGAAAACCAGCAACAGTTTGTATTTCAGCAGCAGGAGGCACCAATGGAAGGGTTTCAACTCTAACAGGTGGTAGGGAAAATGATTGACAGAAATGAGTAGCTTCTGATAGCTCTTCAACATGACTAGTACTGGTAGAAAGGTTTTTATACAATATAGGAAAGAGAAAGTCAAATGCACTTTTAAAAGCAAATATGAAAGTTTCCATTCAGATGCACTGTTTCTTTATAGATTTTCTGTTTGTTGTTTTGATTATTTGTTTTGATGTAGCTGTATTTGTCTTCTGTTGTTTGGATTTTTGTATCTATTTGTGAATATATATTATGCAAATATTTCATTCAAGCTTGAAAAGGACAACTTGGTGAATATTACATAATGGTTCTGAACTTTTCAGGGCTTCTTGAAGACTGCAACAATAGCAGTGCTGTGAATATTGATAATTGCATTTTGTCAATAAGACTAGCAATGCCCAATCTTTACTAAATCTACCTCTGTCTTGAAGCAAATGTAAAAACAAAAAGCTTCAGAAGCATGAAATCATGTAAGAGCCGAACTAGAGTGTGATAATCTTTATTACTTTAGATTATAAATCACTGTACTGTAGGTTATACTTCACAAACAATTGTAGCAGAAAACTTAAAAAAAGGTTTTATGGAACTGATGTATTAATGGATACAATATGACATTTATGAAGAGAGAAGCTGTTCATGTTGAACACAATACAAACCTATAAAACAATTGTCTGTGTTGTTCACATACAATATTATTATTCTAGTATATCTTATATTTTATCCAGAGATGCTACCCTCTATGTAATAGTATTTATTTTCATTCTTCTTTTTAAAGAAGATCATGACAGAGAGGTGATCATGAATCTAACATAGTGCTGCATACCTAAAACTGTAATTATTTCCTCTGATTTTTCAGAAGATCTTGAAACATTTTATTCTTTGTATAATAATGGACTCAAGTACTTGAATGGTAAAAGTATCCTGAAGAAATCACCTTGTTATGTATTAAATATTGTTAAATGCATTTAACGTTTCAACTAAATGAGTGATGCTAATGAAAACTGCTAAGGATTATTTAATGTGTAGAAGTCTATATTAAGGAGTCTTCATTTTGGTGATGCACAACAGGTCATACTGCTGCTGATTATGAACTAAGAGGTAGATGACCTCTGCATCAGATTGGTCAGTCTCATTTATGCATTAGAAGTTAACAGCAAAAAGTCTCTTGAAATATGAAAGTCTAAAGGTTTTGATAGAAAATTTATATTTATTTACATATGTGTGTGTTATTCCCATAAAACTGTGCTTGGTAGAATTTTCTAAGCAGATGTGGTATTGTTGAACTCAATTTTTTTTATTTATAATTGTATACAGGTTGTGTATATATTCCATTATATACTTAAGAATACTTATGTAAAACCTAAATTACAACTCTTGTAAGATGGGAACTAAGACAATTTTGATATGATTCATAGTTTATTCTGTAAAGAAAGATTCATTTATGACAGCATTTGTAATGTTTCTGCTGGGAATCAGAGGCATGTGATATAAGGAAGTGTATGTAGGAGTACTTTTAAATAGTAGGACACTCTGTAAACTATATATCACGGATCTAAGCTTTTGGCAGGACACTTAAACCCCACAACCATGAAATCTAGGTATAAATGGTTTCTGTAGTGCTGACTGCATCTTGTCAGTCCTTTTATACCATTAAGTAGAGGATTGTGTCTTCTCTTTTTTATTATAATGGAAGTTATAGAGTTAAGTTTAAAAACTTTTCCTTTTACATTATGTACATTCAAAGAAACAGGGTAGTGATATAAAAATTACCAAATTGATGGGTGAATTTAACAAATAAACACTGTTTTATGGTGCCGGTGTTTTTAAGTATAAGATGACAGGGTATTTGACTATTTATAATCAGTTGTTGATCAGCATAATTCAAACTTAGCCAGCTGTGCCTGCTTTGAGGATGCAGTAGTCACTATAGCAAGCCTCTAAGCCAAATCTTCCAAAAAATAGTTGTTATAGAGGAAATTATATGTATGTGTATATATGTATATATTATATATGTGTGTGTACATATATATTATGTGTGTATGCATGCATATATATGCAGATATATATACATACACATATATACATATATATATACATATATACACACACACATATATATATACATGCTTGCAGGCACATAGGATGAGTGATCTATCAAAAGCAATTTTAGAACTTACCAGTGGGACAAATGTTGAATTTCTAAGTGCAGAGCTTGGACATACTTTGAATATATAAGTACAAATTTAATTCCTTGGATTAGATTAGAATGGAAAGGTCCATTTTAAAGCCTGATTCCTTTTGTTGGACTAAGAGTAAGAGCCAGCTCTGTAAGAGTATCATTTAAAATGCTCCAATGTTTGTTTTCATCATCATTGTCCTTGTGACACAACTCAATAAGTTGCTTTTCTAAGGTTTTTGACACTTACATGTGATAGATACCGTGCCAGATAAAATAAATGTATGACATTAATGCAAACACCAAGAAAAATCAGAGTCTTTTTAACTAAATTTAATTGAATTTACTTGAACTTGAATTTCTACTGATTGAACTATGCAATCACGCTTATTGTTTTATAAATACTTCATGCACTGGTCTAGATTTTTTTTAGTGTGTTTTGTTTTCCTCTGTTGTAAGCTTTAATTTGAAAGATTTTTCTAACTTAATTTTTAGTGTTATCTGTCACTGGTAGCATTAAAACAGGGTATTTTGGTTTTTGTTTTTAAAGTAAATCTGCTGGCACAAAAATAGCTTCTCATTTTGTTTCTGTAACCTGTTTGCAGTAAAGGATGGACTCACAGGGTGAAGAACTAAAAAAGCATTTACCTCTGCTTTGTTAGATTTTTTTCTTCTTTATAAAGGAGTATTGTAGAAAAAAATAAGCATAAAAATGTCTTTGTGGATTTTGTTAGTGTTGTAAATTCAGTAATCTGGTTGCTTAATTGTGATACTGTGACGTAAAATGAACTGTTCTTTTCAGTACATAGCAAGCACTGCTGCTTTTTGAAATGTGGCAGACCTTTCTGTTAGGAGCCAATATAATAGAACTCTAAAACACTGTTGTCTCCCTGATAGGAAGTCGAGATGGGATGAGACAAGATGAGACCAGATGAGGCGCGATGAGGCAGTTCTCACGTAACTAAATAAACAGACATTTGAACATTATGCAAGATTAAGTGTGAAATGTTACACTCTACTAAACACAATAAAATACTATTTTACAATTGCATTTACGTGTGTTTATTTCCATTATTGCTAAGATTGTATATTTCCAATGGAATAAAAACAGATGCTACCATCAGTTAACAGTCTGTTGGTTTTATAAAACAAGAATCATAAAGAATAGTTAGTTCAGAACTAGGTAGGAAAAGAGGAGGGGGACCTTTTGATTTAGAAACTCTCCCCCTAAATGAAGCAAAATGGAAGATACTAGGTATAAACTCAGTTACATCAGTAATTGCAGGAAATTTTAGTAAATTGAAGGTGTTCAACTCATTAAGCAGTGGTGCCTCGTAAATACAGTAGGTAGCAGTACTAGATGCTTTTCTGTGCAATTGTATGATAAAGCACCATAGTCCAGGTAACTTACAGAAGGAAGGCACACACTTCCAGAGAGATCAGAGTTGTCAGCATCAGTATTTTGAAGCCTCAAAGTTCACCCCAAGTGACACACTTCCTCTGCATCACCTCCTCTGCCTCTCGAACAACCACCAACTTGGGAGCAGGCATTTAAATGCCTAAATTATGGGTGGGGGAGCGCATCTCATTTAAACCACCTCAGTAGTGTATATTTCACAAAGACTATTTAAAATGGAGAAATTGTTCAGCAAAGTTAGCAAGTCCCATATGGTAGATCTTTGCTTTTTAGATATTTGCACACTTTTCTCCAGACTGACCTTACTAATTTTACTCCCATTGGTAGCATGTCAGAGTTTTTTTTTTTCTGCAAATTCTCACCAACACTTGCTGTTTTGTTTTCTGCCTAATAAGGGCCATTCTAGTGAAGGAGATAGTACTCATTTTGCTTTGATCTGTGCCTCTCGGATGGTCCATATTCCAGAGCAATGAAGTCAATATAGCAAAGAGCTAACTGCACCCAGACTTACTACAGCACTGTCTTCCTAGCAGCCAAGATGGAATCAACCTATGTGCTTTCTTCTTGAGCTGATTAATAGCCTACAATTAAGTTAGGGGGAAAAGGTCTTTTTTTTTTTTTTTAATACAAGCTAGTTTAAACTTTGGGAACAGCCTTTGCTGCTGAGACAACTTCTGGCCATCAGCATTTCTGATAGCCTGTGAGTTACAAGGGATTGATCATTGAGCTGATGTCTGACCCAGCCACAGTGAGTTCTAAGGATTGTTTTCGATGATTTGTCCTTTCAGGTGGTTATTTTGATTTTCTTGGTCAGTAATTAACACTGCCCAACTTAGCTGAAGACCAAAGGGAAACTGCTGCCTGTGTGAAACAAACTGTTCTCTTTAGCCCAGCCTACCATACGCTGTTGTGGCTTGTCTTGGCTCCTTACTCAGGTTTCAGGGGTTCCCTGTCCATCTTATATGCCCTAGGAAGGGAATGAATCGGTCATAAAATCCCTTTGATTTTGCAAATCACTGCCCACAATATTTACTTCCTGTTCACATTTTTCTCTGGTGTCTTATGCTAGAGTGCAAATTGAGTCCTTGCTCCTCCATTTTGGCAGGAAGCAGAAAGTGCACCAGTCCACCATATTCTCTCAAGGATCTGGAAGGTAGTCTCTATCAGCTTGTCACTTAGAACACTTTTTCCCCTTGCATCTTATTTTTCTTTTATCTCATTTATTCTAAGATAATTTAATTACATTGATTTGTATGGCTTCATTTATTTAGGTTTCTGCCCTTGATTTCACACATTGCAGAAAAGCTGGAGTCAGGTGCAATATGCACAGTGATGGAATGGCACTTACTACCACCATGTTTATTACTACAGCACAGAAGGAAGCATTAGCTAGTCTCTGTAGGAGCTGTCACTGGGCAGGCTGTCTCATGGGCTGTAAACATCTGGGAGGAGGAATGTTATTTGCTAGTGTTTGTACACACTGATCAGTCCTATCAGTCCTCTATAAACACTGGCACTGGGAACACAGGAAGAAGGCTTTGCCAACTTGAGCCTGGCCCATGTTGGGAACAGCTTTGCTTATTTCCCATGGGTCCAAGCCCCTGGGTCTTCATCAAGGCCATGTTCATGTCAACAATACATTCACTCAAGACTTAACTCACTTGGAGCTTCCTTCCCTGTTTGCTGTGTAAAAGTACATATGATAAGTATATTTTTATGTACTATTTTTAAATGACTTTTAGTAAAGGTTTACTAAAAAATTAAGACCCTAATGTTTTTGTTACCAAGAATGAAATTATAGTAAACATTTTGTAAATTGTTTATTTGGTGGTTAATAGTAATGGCACCTGAGCGAGTACTGACATCACTTAGTCAAAAGCATCATTTAGACTTGGACTGTGCAGCCAATGCAGCTTCTTCACGCCACTTAGCTTTCTTTGCCAGATTCCAACTTGTTAAGGATTCATGCCGTTCCACAGCCTAAAAACACAACACAATACTATACGACTTTTTAGAACTTACATCTTTGTTAGATATATGGAAAAGTGTTTGCAAAGTGAAAGGGAGAAAAAATACCTTAAGCAACTCACACATAATATCCAAGAAAAATGGCCCTGTGCAAATCACTAGACTTAGAGTCAACTGGGGAATTAATATCAGGAACCTGTTGCCACCTCTCTTGGTTCAAATAGACATTATGTGTTGTATCGAAACATCAAAAGTATTTTCAAATACTGAAGCTCAAAAGGGAGATTCTCTGGTACTAGAAATGAATGTAACTCAAGGCTTGCACTGGTAAGAGGGTGGGAGGGAGATGTCAGGATGGAAGGGAATGGTTTCAGCCACAGGGCATTTGGGAAAACACTAGCTATCACAGCTGTGGTCTGGGACATTAACTCTATAATGGATTTGAGTGCACAATTGAGGTCTTCACTGTGGAGGTGAGTTGTAAATGAGGAGCAGGAAACATATGAAGTCCTTTCCCCAGCCTGAGAAACTGGGAAGAAGGGGACCATTTATGTGGCAAAAACAAGCAAAACAACAAAACAAAACAAAAAACCCTAGTGTTCATCTTATAGAAGAGTTCCCATAAAAGATTTCTAGAACCCAAAGAATAACCAGTTTGGCAGGCAAATAATTAGGGATAGGATAGAAACAAAGTAGTATATTTCTTTGTTCATTTTTGAATATTCATCCCAGTGAGTGTTCTGAAGTTTCCCCATCTGGAGAAGATTCTAAAGGTAGGTTAATCCCAAACTGTTAGGATAATATTGCTAAGTTTAATGACAGGTGTTCTCTGCCTAAGGTTAGGGGACTCAGACATTTGAAAACCTGAAGAATAAAGCAAGAATTGAGGATATCATGTCATTTCCTCTAATGGTGTGGCCACTGGGCTAGGTGGGGAAAAGGGGATTCAGAGGGGAGTGAAAGATGACACCCAGAGGGCTAAAGGGTGAATGTAGTCACATGAACAGCAAACCAAGGCAAGCAGCAAGGCCTGTTGAATATCTGCCAGAAAGAAGACAGAATCATAGGGTCAGGTAGAATAACGATTGCTTAAATATACTCAGAAGGAAGGATACTGAGAGCAAGCTATGCATGTCAGAAGGCTGCACTATCTGACAGCTCTAACCAGCGGGTCACGGGTGACAAAATGAAATGTGTCTAGATACAGCTCCCAGGTGGAGGCTCTTAGAGAATCTGCCAGTATTATTGGAGCTGCTCATGGTAAAAAAGGTGGTCCCAAGGATCCAGAGATGGGAAGGTTTAGAGGCAGAGTGTAGAATGTGAAATGGTCAGCTCCTTACTTCCCTTTATAGGTATTAAACAAAAAGTATGCATGGAAGATGGTGAGGAGCAGCTCATACTCAACCTACACAGTCATTTCCAACCTGCACACTTCTGTCTCCCAAGTTTGTGGAACTGCTACTTAAATTGTTTTAATTTACAGAATGGACTAGTCTGGTTTACTTTTACACAGAAGAGTTCTTATGCAAATTTTAAGCTATTCTTTGTTATTTTACAAACATGAAAAAACTTTTGCTTATCTTGGCACATAATTTTGGGGGCTAAATTATCATGGCTAGATTTGTGTCTTCTACCATACATGCATGTGGGTGGTACCAGGATCTACAATTGTTTAATTCAGAACAAGGTCCATAGCATTTCTAAAAACAAGTTTTGTTTCTCTCTCAACCCCTGTAGGGTTAGGCATTGAACCTTGGGCCTCACAGAAGTTAGGGAGTGGTCTGCCCCTGCACCTTGTCCGCAGCCCACCGTCACTGGGAGTTAGAGTTTTTAAGGACTCACCGTTTTGGCAGACACAATCACAGCAAAGCAGGCAGCAATTGTGAGTCCGATCATTATGTAACAAGCTTTCACTCGAGCCTTGTTTCTTGAAACAGCTATCATTTCAGGCCTAAACAGACATGTGGAGTCTGTTAATTACTTATAATATTTGTTCATATTAAAGCAGTACAGCTTTCTGACAAATAATGGTTGATTGCATGAATAGCTCAAATATTTCCCCCAATGCAAACCATGGCTGTAAAAGACCACCAAATGCTAACCCGTTTATCTTAGCAACTTCAAATTAGCACACATTTGTTCAGATTTCAATCTTAAACTAAAGGTAGCCACTGTGAAACCAGTATAGTATATTTAGCTTCTAACTGATCAAAACAGAACTACTATCAATGTATTGGACTATGATTTCTTATTTCTTAGCTTAGATAAAAGAATTGAAGCCATTTCGAACAGCTTATATTTAAATGCATTTCTCATACTTTCTTTCCAGAGCTTCTCAGTTTCTTCTTGCCCCTTCCTATCTCATTCTCCAAAGAGACCAGTTACGTGCAGCTGTAGTACAATACCTTAGGTTTTTGCAATCTTATAAAACTGTTACAGTGGAAATCAAGCTTTGGATGCTTTTATACTGAAACAAAATTTTAGTGATTTGCAATGATAGTTAAGTGTCAGCTATCAATATGCATAAGGCTCTTGAAAATATCAAGTGGCATTCTTATCTAATATAAAACATATATAATGCAGTTACATTTTAAAAATCATAAGGGTGTTAAATTTCTCTTGAAAACTAAAACTTTAACTCTTTCACTATTTAAAAAATTCACAAAAAATATAATAGCATGTTTTATTTATATTTTAGGCAGAACTAAGCTTAAAATGTCAGTTGCAAACAGATTCAATTAGTGTCCAGGGAGAGGCTATTTGTTGCTAGCTTCTTTTCTAGATTAAACCTAAAAGATCTGATTATTTTAACCTCATCTGGCTGTGATTTTGAATATGAAATTAGCTTAACAATTAAAAACAAAAGAAAAGCATTGTTACTATAGAGTTAGTGTGATGGCAAAAACTGTAGGATTTTTGTCCTGTCATTTGTTTATTAAAATCTACAAAAGAAAGCTTACATTGCAAGCTTAACATCTTAATAGGAATGTCCGTCCTTAAATAGCAAACCTTTAAAAAAATTATAGAAAATAAAACAAAAAATATACAAATACTTGGAACTCGGAATTACAATGCTTCTTATAAGTGTCTTATTCATTGGTAAGATGCTCCTACTATAGCTGTTGACTGTGATCCTGAAGAATTAAATTATCTCTATGAAACGGATTTTTCCTACAGCCATCTATTGTAGATGCAATCAATATAGGTTAAAAGGGAATAGATAGGTTCTCTTGGAAATTAATTTACAACATTGCAGATTCGTTACATTCTTAATTAGTTATAATGCTAGATATCAAAATTTAAACCAGCTGAGAGTGGAATTTTGTTTCTTGTTCTTTCTATATTTTTATTTGACTCCACCATCGTCATCATCATCATTGTCGTCATCATCATCACCATCATCACCATCATCATCATCATCAATCATTATTTGGGTGATTTGAGATAGGGTTTTTATTTGTAGCCTTGGCTGTCCTAGAACTCACCCTTTTGACCAGGCTGGCTTTGAACTCACAGAGATCCACTGCCCTGCTTTCCTCGTGCTGGGATTAAAGGTGTTCCTCACCACTGCCTGGCCTAAAATATTAAATTTTAACAAACAAAATTTATGCTACAGATTTTCTTAGATTGATTCGTATTTTCAAGTTTTGAGTCTATAAATGTCATAGAGGATGAAATTAGCGTAAAATAATTAGAAAATAGTTTTTATGTTGAATAGCCGTGGAAAGATTTCAAAATGTCCTTTTTTTTTTTTGTAACAGCTGCTCAAAGAACAAGGAAATGTTTCAGAATGAATACCTGAGTGTGCATTTTTGCAGCACGTGTTTTCTCTTTTCCATTTACTTGAGGCCATTTGTGATGAGACCAACCATACTGAAGCTGCCTAGCTTCCTAGGATCAGGATCAGGAAACTGTGTACCCAGATGCCATGCTCCTGTATCCCAAAAGTCATACCAGGACTCTTTCCTGGTATCGAACAGTAAGGAGACCCTCTGTGTTTCTTTTCTTCCCAGACACACCACCGATATGGTGATTGAGTGAGGATGCAGTCTATCATGGGGTAAGGCCTGATGTTTGTTGCTGAAACCTCAGTTAATCTAATCTAGGAATAACCTCACAGACACCCTCAACAATGTCTCTTCGGCAATTCTGTATCCTGCCAAGTTCCATCACAGTACTCACTGTTCAGAGCTCTATAGGAACCCATGTCTGCAAGACTAGGAATTGACCAATAAATTCCCGGGTTTTCAATTCAACTTCTGCACTCTCTCTATAATGCCAGCTATCCACTGTCTAGTCGAACACCTTGATCTTATCCACATTAGGGGAGTGTTACAAACTCCCTATGTCAGTGTTAGTTGGAAGAACTATATAGCTCTATGGCTGCTTTGCTCCTGGCGAGCAAAGCACAGTTTGGACCCTATGTCCCAGTCCAGGCTGCAAGTCTCCTGCAGGGGAAACTCAGGCAAGGACCCACTTCACACTTACGGTACTAGGGGTGGGATCTCCTCTATAGATTTGAAACGCCCGGTCCACAGTAGGATTTTCTTGTCGAATTTCGAAGGTTTGTATTGGGCGGGAATCCTGTGAACTTTCTCTACAAGGAAAGCAACAGGCAGATCAAGAAGTACATTGCATCCACAAGCTGGAATACTCAGCAGTCCCCTTCCTCCTAGCCCTGCCCTGCTCTGACCTGGGGGCTCAAAGCCGCTGGAATTCTGGCCGCTGAAGCTACGGGGGTGACACGCGGCCCGGGGACCCCAACCCGGCCAGCGCGAGATGGTTTGAGGAGCGCAGTGGATGGTGAACCCCAAGCTTAGGCGCAGAACACTGCCGCGGACCCAGAGCATCTTACACAACTCGCTGGAGCCCACATCCACCCTCTGGAGAACTCCGGGCCTCTTCCCGGTCCAGGATGCTGAGCTGCGTGCGCACTGTCTCTACTTGATGTTCCCGCCCCAACCAGGATACAGGACAATTCTCCTAGGGGCGGGCTGGGTCGCAGTGAAAACTTTGGGCGCAGACCCACGGATCCTTGAGGCAGCTCAGCAAATCATTTAAAAAACATTTCTTGGTATTGAGTAGATATAGTTCTCATCAGGATTTCAGATTTGGTCCCATTAGAGAATAAAACTAAACCTTTTACTGTCTTTCGAACGTTGGAAGTGTAACCCTCTACCAAGCAGGGAACACTTTGTTTATAGGAACACTATAAACAAACTAAAGATTCTCCGATTCTCCGTGAGGAAGCTCTGTGAAACCAGTCCTACTCTTTCACTCTGTAATGTATTGCCTTTCTACATAAAAAAAAAAGACCTCGGTTCCTACAACTGTTTCTACTTTTCAGTTCTTAGTCCAATATTTGAATGTGTGTGGGGAACAACTGTGGAGGTCAGAGGTTAACTCTCAGAGTTGATTCTCACTTTCTACCCTTTGGATTCTGGGGGATAAACCAAGGTCCACAGGCTTGGCAGCAAATGCCTTTAGCAACTGAGCCATATTACAGAACCCCAGACTGTGCAGCTCTCCTGTTTCCTTCCACCCTCTTTCTGCTCCTGAAAGGGGGAGAAAATGTTCTTTACTACTAAGCAGAACTGAAAGTTCGGAAAGAAAAGATTTATACAACAGCCCTCTACTTTGAAGAAGTCCTCACTGGACCCCTCCAGCATCAAGACTCATAAAGTGAAATTGCTCTCAGGGACACAGAATCAACTGTGTCAATTTCTGCTTCCTGTCTTTCAGCTTTCTTCCACAGTTCATACCTGCCAATGGTCTCCAGCTCTAGGACTCTGAGAACACTGTGGATGAGGGACCAGTAAGCACATAAGAGGTGAAGACAAGGAGAAAAATTTTTGAAATTTTGAGGGTCTGACACAACCATTGCCATGATGAACTCACAGCAGCCACAGTGACCTGCATAAGACAAAGACAGTCATCAGTCAACTGTAGAACTGAATGGAGCACATGGGACCCTCCTTTCTGAATCGTTGGGTACTGATAGGTCACAGGGCAGGGGAGGCTATACTATCTTCAGTTATGAACCTACTGGTGAGATGACCAAGCTCCAGGACTTAGTTTCAAATCCATGCTCACACAGATGATTTGGGGTAAACTCTGTGGGACACAAAATAGACAAAACGTCATGCACATGGACTTTTAGAGAGGAGAAGGGTTGAGAGGGAGATAAGAGAAGGTGGAGGGAGAGTAATCAGAAGGCATTATATACATGTATGAAACTGTCAAAGAACAAATCTAATAATATAAAAATAAAAGTAAAAGTGAAATATAGGTGAATATAAAATCATAAATATTCAATAAACAATCAATCCATCCTTATCTTAAAGTTAACTGCTTATTGATTACTAGTGCTCTGTTTAGTGGCCTGTTTTTTTATATTTTTTCTTCTTTTCTTCAGCCCAATAAAAACTCAAAGCATATTTATTTGTTCATGAAGAATCCAGTGCAAACAATATGCTTCAGATGTCTCTGTCCTTAAACTTGGTTGTGTCTCTTTCTCCTGTCTTCATTACTAAATAATCCTGGAAGAGTGAAATTTCTATCAGTGAGACAGTGATACAGCTCCTCCCACTCACCTGTGAAGCACCTTTAGCGTGTTTAGGCTTCATGCTAAGTAAGTCTATTTCTCATTAATCGCTTCCTAGGCAAAGACTGGGGTTGACTTTTTCTGGAATCGTCTTGAAGTTTACAGAAGTCAGGAGGCTATGACCATGGGCAGCATGGAGTAACTGAGGCTTTGCTGTAGTAAGAAGCCACATTTAGATGATGCAAAGGTTTCCAACAGAGACTGGGTGAGACTTTACATTTAGGACTTTTTTTATTGGATATTTTATTTACATTTCAGATGTTATCCCCTTTCCCCATTCCTCCCCCCAAGAACCCCCTATCCCATCCTCCTCCTCCTCCTGCTTCAGTGAGGATGTGCCCTCACCCACTTCTACTTCCCCACACTCAAATCCCCCCACACTGGGGCATCCAGCCTTCACAGGACCAAGGACCTCCTCTCCCACCTATGCCCATCAAGGCCATCCTCTCCTACATATACAACTGGAGCCATGGGTCCCTCCCTATGTGCCCCCAGGCTGGTGGTTTAGACCCTGGGAGCTCTGGTTGGTTGGTATTGTTGCTCTCCCCATGGGGCCATAAACTCTTTCAGCTCCTTCAGTATTCTCTCTAACTCCTTTATTGGGAACCCCATGATCAGTTCAATGATTAGCTGTGAGCATCCTCCTCTGTATATGTCAGGCTCTGGTAGACCTCTAAGGAGATAGCTATATCAGGCTCCTGTCAGCATGCATTTCCTGGCATCTACATCAGCGTCTACCTTTGGTGACTGAACATGGGATAGATACCCAGGTGGAAAGTCTCCAGACTACCCCACCTTCAGTTTCTGTCCCACATTTTGTCTCCATATTTGGTCCCATGAATATTTTGTTACTCCTTCTAAGAAGGACCGAAGCACCCACACTTTGGTCTTCCTTCTTCATGAACTTGATGAGGTCTGTGAGTTGTATCTTAGGTATTGTGTGCTTTTGGGCTAATATCCAATTATCAGTGAGTGCATACCGTGTGTGTTCTTTTGTGATTGGGTTACCTCACTCAGGATGATATTTTCTAGTTCCATCCATTTACCTAACAATTTCACGAATTCATTGTTTTTAATAGCTGAGTAATACTCCACTGTGTAAATGTACCACATTTTCTGTATCTATTCCTCTTTTGAAGGACATCTGGGTTCTTTCCAGCTTCTGGCTATTATAAATTAGGCTGCTACGAACACTGTGGAGCATATGCCCTTGTTGGAGAATCTTCTGGGTATATGCCCAGGGTGGTATAGCTGGGTCCTCATGTAATGCTATGTCCAATTTTCTGAAGAACCAAAAGACTGATTTCCAGAGTGGTTGTACCAGCTTGCAATCCCACGAACAATGGAGGAGTGTTCCTCTTTTTCCACATACTCACCAGCACCTGCTGTCACCTGAGATTTTGATCTTAGCCATTCTGACTGGTGTGAGGTGAAATCTCAGGGTTGTTTTGATTTGCATTTCCCTAAGGAAATGACTAAGGATGTTGAGTGTTTCTTTAGGTGCTTCTCAGCCATTTGAGTTTCCTCAGTTGAGAATTTGTTGTTTAGCTCTGTACCCCATTTTTAAATAGGGTTATTTGGTTGTCTGGAGTCTCATTTCTTGAGTTCTTTGTATATATTGGATATTAGCCCTCTATCAGATGTGGAATTGGTAAAGATCTTTTCCCAATCTGTTGGTTGCTGCTTTGTCCTATTGACAGTGTCCTTTGCCTTATGGAAGCTTTGCAATTTTATGAAGTCCCATTTGTCAATTCTTGATCTTAGAGCATAAGCCATTGGTGTTCTGTTCAGGAACTTTTCCCCTATGCCCATATGTTTGAGGTTTTTCTCCGTTTTCTCTTCTATTAGTTTCAGTGTATCTGGTTTTATGTCCTTTTTCCACTTTGACTTGAGCCTTGTACAAGGAGGTAAGAATGGATTTATTTGCATTCTTCTATATGCTGACCTCCAGTTGAACCAGCACCATTTGTTGAAAATGCTGTCCTTTTCCCCACTGGATGGTTTTAGCTCCTTTGTTAAAGATCAAGTGACCATAGTTATGTGGATTCATTTTTGGGTCTTCAATTCTATTCCATTGATCTTCCTGCCTGTCTCTGTACCAATACCATGAAGTTTTTATCACTATTGCTCTGTCGTACAGCTTGAGGTCAGGGATGGTGATTCCTCCAGAATTTCTTTTGTTGTTGAGAATAGTTTTTCCTATACTGGGTTTTTTGTTATTCCAAATGAATGTGCAAATTGCTCTTTCTATCTCTATGAAGAATTGATTTGGAATTTTGATGGGGATTGTGTTGAATCTGTAGATTGCTTTTGGCAAGATGGCCATTTTTTTTTACTATATTAATCCTGCCAATCCATGAGCATGGGAGAAGTCAAAATACCACTACTTGCAGATGATATAATAGTATACTTAAGTGACCCCAAAACTTCTACCAGCGAACTCTTAAACTGGATAAATAACTTCAGCAAAGAGGCTTGATATAAAATCAACTCAAACAAATCAGTAGCCTTCCTCTACTCGAAGGATAAACAGGCTGAAAAAGAAACTAGGGAAATAACACCCTTCATAACAGTCACAAATAATGTAAAAGACCTTGGTGTGAATCTAACCAAGCAAGTGAAAAATCTGTATGACAAGAACTTCAAGTCTCTGAAGAAAGAAATCGAAGATCTCAGAAGATGGAAAGATCTTACATTTAGGTTTTAATTTCTCTTATATTTTAGAGCACAAATAGTCCCGTATCAATAAATGTTTGAACTAGGTTCTAAATTAGCACATAGAGGTAAGCTGGAAGAGACAAATGATGTGTATTGTTCATTTTATTTGTCTTAAGACATGACATAATTGTAAAAAATTCCAAACAGTCTTAGTTGAATTTTATTGTTTGTACAAGAGGTGAATGTTAAAAGTTTGGAATGAGTTAGCAAATGGTATAAAAAATTTAATGAAGATTTTATTCATATGCATTACATTTACACTTGGCAGAAAAGGTAGTTTATGCAATTATTTTAACCTAAGGACATAAAGTAAAAGATAAGATATTATTATTTTGCTAACCATTAAAAAATTTTTTTTTGCTCTAAAACTCTAAAAACCATTTTTTGCTTCTAAGAACATATTTATGTTATTACTTCTAATTACTTGTATAAGTAAGTGAATAAAATAAATATTTTATGTCTATGCTTTTATTCATCAGTATTGTTATATTGAAACATAAATATTAGCACTTATCATGAGATTATTTTTAAAGCATCCATTGAGGGTCTCAATTTTTTTATACCAA